CTCGGCTCTCGCCGCTCGCCGCTCCGGGGACGCCTCGGCCGCCTCGGGCTGCAGCTCCTCTCTGCCCTCCTGCCCCGCTGTGCCCCCAGGCTCCGAGGGGGACGTGCCCCGCTCCCGGCGCGGGGCCGGGGGGCTGCGGGGCCGGCCGGGCTCTGCCTCGGGCTGCGCCGTCAGTCGCTGCGACTCCTCGGGGCTCAGCCCAGAACTGCCAAGGAAAAGAGAGTTTGCTCTGTAAAACATCCCTGCAAAAGCATCCCGTCCTCAGGGAAACTGCGGCAGCATTCGCTAAATAAACTCCCGAAATAAATGTCTCGCACACACCCAGTTCTGTGCCACGATCAGCGAGAACCTTCCCCACTGATAATCCTTCACGGGAAACAGAAATCAGCATCAACAGCAAAATGCAAGACATGGAACACTGGGTAGCTCCAGGCCTGTTCCAGACACCAATTTTCCAGGCTGCAAACTCCAAGGGTTTGGCCAAGAGTGAATATTTCCCTGTATGAGCCCCCAGTGCAGCACGGGAGCAGCGTCCCACGGTGACACTGGCAAGGAAGGGTCCCACCACCCCTTCGGGAGGAACTCGGGCTCTAATTCCCAGAGTGATGTCTGGGATTAATTCCTTCTGGATTCACTTCATCCATCCCTCTCAATGATTTGTCAAATTGGGTTTTTTTCCCCCAAACACAACCCTGTGAAGGTCTGGTGAATCCGTGGATTGGTTCCCCCCAGAGAAGTTCCCAGGGGCTGGAGGGAACTGAGCTCCTGCTCTTGCACACGTCCCCTCCACGCTGTCCTGTGTCCCCTGTTGTCACCTCCCCACGGGCACACACCTGGCCCAGGTGGCTGATGAAGCTCCTGGTGAGCTGCACTCCCAGCCTGGTGTATCCCTGTAGTTGTTCCTACAGCTTGTAGGGACATCCCCCACCACCTGGCTCCCCACAGCATCCCAACCACGCCAGGAATGCCAGGAATACCCCGAAGGCCCTGGAGGGTTAAAACACCCACGAGGAATGGGAGGCACAGTGGCTAGCAGGGGGGACACCCCAAAACCTGGCATGGTGTAGGGTTACAAATTCCTGACCAGTTTTTACACCTGTGTGCTCCTTCCCAGGTCTCCCAGCACCTCGCTCAGAAACCCCAAATCCTCCCTGTAGCCCCGAAGGATGGCAAACCCCTGAAGCAAGAGGAGGCAAAGAATAAAAGCCCAGCAGATTCGGGGGTTTAACGGGGTGGCGTGGGGTTGGAGTTGTGGGATTGCAGGCCCTGAGCCTGAGGTGGGACACACTGGGCCACCCCAGCAGCAGGAGAGCCCTGGGGGTGGCTCCAAGCAAGGAGGGGAAGAGGAGTGACATGCCAGGACACCCTGCACTGCACGAAGGGAGACAAACCTCCCACCCGACCTGGATCCCACCAGCATTTCCAATTTCCTGGATCCAGCTGAAGGCAGAAACCTCCCTCAGGTTCCAGGGAAGCCCCTGCCCACGGCCGGGCCCAGAACCCAGCTGAGCCCTCACCTCTGCCCGTAGTAGCTCTCGAAGAAGTGCTCCTTCCACAGCTCCACCTTCTTCTCCTTCTCCATCTCCTGCCGGATCCGCAGCTGCATTTCGGGGGTGAACTCTCCTGGGGGATGCAACGGGGAATTCTGAGCCAGGGGAGGGGTGGATAATGGGGCACAGGCCCAGGAGAGCACCCCAGGAACCCGGGATGCTGCTCCAGTGGATGGGGCAGTCAAGGGAACCGAGCTGGGGAGGGAACGGAGCCCCAGGAGGGGCTGGGGGAGCTGGGAAGGGGCTGGAGAATTCCTGAGGAGCTGGGAAGGGAATGGATAGTTCCTGGGGGAGCTGGGAAGGGGCTGGAGAATTCCTGAGGAGCTGGGAAGGGAATGGAGAGTTCCTGGGGGAGCTGGGAAGGGGCTGGAGAATTCCTGAGGAGCTGGGAAGGGAATGGAGAGTTCCTGAGGAGCTGGGAAGGGAATGGAGAGTTCCTGAGGGGAGCTGGGAAGGGGCTGGAGAGTTCCTGAGGAGCTGGGAAGGGAATGGAGAGTTCCTGGGGGAGCTGGGAAGGGGCTGGAGAGTTCCTGAGGAGCTGGGAAGGGAATGGAGAGTTCCTGAGGGAGCTGGGAAGGGGCTGGAGAGTTCCTGAGGAGCTGGGAAGGGGCTGGAGAGTTCCTGAGGAGCTGGGAAGGGAATGGAGAGTTCCTGAGGGAGCTGGGAAGGGACTCAGCCTGGAGCAAAGGAGGCTCAGGGGGACCTTGTGGCTCTCACAGCTCCTGCCAGGAGGGAACAGCCAGGGGGGATTTGGGATCTGTTCCCAGGGAACAGGGACAGGAGGAGAGGGAACAGCCTGGTCAGACTTGGAAGGGCCTCACCACCCTCCCAGGAAGAATTTCCCCCAGTTTCCCATCCAAACACCCAAAGGGATGGCTCTGAGCACCTTGTGCTGGTGAGCCCGTGCCCTGCTCTGGAACAGAATTTCTCTCCTCTGCCCCTCAGCAGTGTCTGTTTAGGAGCCACAGCTCCAGAATACCCCAGCTCTACTGTCACTTCAGATTTTTAATGCATTTTTCCTTCTTTTCTCCTATCTTCCAGAGATTTCCTGTGTCAGTTCAACACAGAACTCACCTGCAGCCCCCTCCCACCCTGAGCCCCCAGTTCTGAGTCCCTGCAGAGCTGCAGCTTCTCCAGGAACTCCCTGCAGGCCTCCCCACCCCTCCCCAGCCCCCTTTACCTTCTGCCAGCCTCTCCTTCCAGCCCTGGGCAGCCGAGGTGAAGAATTCGTTGTTGAGCGCAGAACTGCTGAGCCTCATCAGCCCGTCAGCCCCGACCTGGGAGAGAGGGCTCGGTCACCTCTGGTCACCTGTGGTCACCTGTGGTCATCTCTGGTCACCTGTGGCACCTCTGGTCACCTGCTGGTCACAGCCCCTAGCCACAGCCCCAGTCACCTCTGGTCACCTCTGTCACCTCTGGTCACCTGCTGGTCATCTCTGGCCACAGCCCTGGTCACCTGTGGTCACCTGTGGTCACCTCTGGCCACAGCCCTGGTCACCTGTGGTCACCTGTGGTCACCTCTGTCACCTGTGGTCACCTCTGGTCACCTGCTCGTCACTTGCTGGCCACAGCCCAGTCATCTGCTGGTCACCTGCTGGTCACTGCCCCTGGCCACAGTCCTGGCCACAGCCCTGGTCACCTGCTGGTCACCTCTGGTCACCTGCTGGCCACAGCCCTGGTGTGCCAGGCCAAGGCCAGACCCATGGGCAGCAGTTT